AAGGGGAAAGGAAAGGCTGTTGGAAAGTCGGTTGAGGGGTACCTGAATTTAGGTTCTGTGGCGGGGTTGCCAATGGCACGAGATGAGTCGTCATATAACAGTTGGTGCGGGTATAGCGGTAGGAGGAGACGATACAGTCGTTACGACCGATATTTCGACGATGATGATGATGATGATGACGAAGAAAATTACGATGAGGAGGATGAGTGATAGACGAAAAGGAGTACTGATTTGATGTATAGAAGGTTAGCGGATGTTTGCAAGTTTTCTTTTGTAAATGGTGTTAACAAAATTAAATGGTGTTGCTTGCATTTACACGGAATGTTGCTCAAGTCCTTTTTAATTTCTTGAACTCGCTTATCGATCAACGGCCCACGAAGAAATAAATAATTGAAACACATTTATTTTCGTTGTTCAAATGAGCTTTACATGTGAGATGGTTGTGATTGGTCAATAATGCGGATATGTTACACACACCGTTAGAATTTTTCTTTTTTTCTTTTTTCCGATAAGGTTATGAGAAAGTGAGAGAGTTGTGCTATTGGTCAGATATGCTTGAGTGGATTATGATTGGATGAAGGAGTAGAGGAATGTAGATTGGTGCTTGCTTGCTTGGTTTACAGCTTTCCTCTTTTCCCTTTTTTCATTTTCTTTTTTCCTTTAGTCCCATTTTGCTTATAAAAAGACCATGATATCCCCCACCATCACAAGCATCTTTTCCTTCTTCTCTATCACTGCACACTCTTTCGTTAGCCAATTCCCCCACTTTTTCTCTGTATTCTCCCTATCCCCTATACCTGTTAAAAAAAAACACCTGCCTGCACTCTTATTCTTTACCCTGCTGCATCACTCGTAAATTCACTTGTTCATTCCGCTCTCCCTCCTTTCCCATATCCTCACTGCCAATGGGTCCCACCTCAGCCATCTCCGGAAGGAGAGCTTTCGTCAGCATCCTTGCTGTTGTCGTCGTTCTTGTTCTCACCATCTTCTCAATCGCCTTCTTCCCTGCAACTGCCAATGGCAAGTCGTGGGAGATGACTGACCGCATGTAAGCAAACACTCTTTTTCTAGCTCCTCAAATGCATAATAATTCGCTGACATATTACTATTACTCATTCCTTGTACATACACAGTGTTGACGCTATGGACTTGCAATTTATCCTCTCCAACTTCCTTCCTCCTGCCGTCCTCGTTCTCTCTTGTATTCTCTTCCTTGACACCCTCCCTGGCCACTCTCGTGACGTCGATGTGGCCTTACTGGCTCGAGGTGATGCCTCCAAGGTCACCAGCATGGGTCTCTGGAGAGCTCGATGGCGTCTCACCATGGGCAAGATTGTCGGCGGTTGGTCTATAGGAGAAATCCTCATGGTTGTCGCGCTCGTTATCTGCAACATCCTCTGGTGGGCTATTCCTGTCATCAGTCGTACTGTAAACCCTCCCCCTGGTGTTCACGTCCACGGCAAGAAGACAGAGCTTCGTATTATGTTTGACAGGATCGCTGGTTGGGCTGGTAAGCATGGTCGATCACTTAGGGTAAAATTCAAAGTCTAACATTATCCTTTCCTCTTCCTTTTTTTTTTTTTTTATCAGGGTGGGCTGGACTTTGGGATGGTGGTGCGGCTATTCTCTTTGCTATCCGCGAGAACCAGCTGCTTAAAAAGACAATCGGCGCCGGACGCTGGCCAATACCACCGCATGATTCGCTTCCACGTTGGTCTCGGTTACGCATGCTTCCTTCTCGAGACATACCATAGTCTTCACTTCTTCTTCGGGTACATTATCGATAACAAGTTTGCTTTCCACATGTATCCTTGGGTGAGCACTGTTGGTTATTACAACGCCGCAGGGTTCATATCTTGGCTTGCACTTGTTGTGGTTGCTGCAACTTCGATCTTTAAGGTCCGCAGGAAGAATTATCGGCTGTTTTACTGGTCCCATCAGTTGTATATTGTCTTTATTCTGTTCAGTTTGATTCACTACTACGGTAATTATCTACGCCCTATTTACTTTACACTACGTATGAAAACGTCCTAATTCTATTTTCCGCACCTGGCACTATCATATCCGCATTTGTCGTCGTAAACGCATCTAGTCGGTTAGTTTTCATATTCCACGCGAACTTTTTTTTTTGCTTGATATTATAGTGCCGAACTTTTATCTAACCACACCTTCTCCGTCCCCGTCTCGATTTTGAAATTATTTTTGTTTTATCACATTATAGGATGGTAAGTTTGGCCCCTTTCTTCCCTTGTCATCGTATTGCAGTTATGTTCCAGGAGACTGATCATTCTTAATTGGTTCAGGTGGACTTTTGTCGGGCCTCTTCTCTACTTTGTCTATGATCGATTCGCCCCGTCCCTTCGCTTCAAGCGTCAAAACGTTGCATTCCTCAAACCTCTTAACGACACCACTCTCCGCATCGACGTCCCTATCCCTGAAGAATACCGTCTTGCCTCCACCTACGCACCGGGTGACTGGATGAACATTAACGTCCCTGAAATCTCCCGTCTAAACTGGCACCCCTTCTCTATCGCCTCATACCATACCGAATCCCCCGATTTTCTTACCTTCTACATCAAGGTCCGCGGAGAATGGACAAAGCAACTTCACTCCCTCGCAAAAACCACTGGGCTTAATACTCCTGTTCCTGTCAAGATGGATGGTCCCTTTGGCGCCAAGTCCACCTCCTACCTTGACTTTGAAACTCTTGTGCTGGTGGGGGTGGAACGGGTATGGCGGCTCTCATTCCATTTGCTCGTCATTACGCTGACCGCGGTGCCGAAGGTCGCAAACTTCACGTGATCTGGGTAGCAAAATCCTCGCTGGACGTCACGCTTTACACCGAATTTGTGAGATTACTTCCAAACATGGTTGGCTCCAATGGTTCAGTTCAAATCTTTTTGACTCGAAATGCGGTGGTCGAACTTGGATCCGAGGATAAGACGTCTCTCCTTATGGCTTCGGTTTCCCCCGTTTCACCCACAGTTCTCAGTGACAAGAAGGTCGTGTTACAAGAATCCGCATGTGCCGCGCAACCTGTCCTGCATGAATCGGCATCTTCGTCCCCAGAAGCTCGCACGTCCTACTTTCGTCTGCTCTCATTAAATGTGCTTCTGGCTATTGCGTGCTTTGGAGGCGGCGTAAGTGGTTACGCGTTTGGACGGATTGTTGTTTTCGACTTTAATGTAAGTTTGTCCCATTAGTTTGCTCGATACTCACAGTCCCTCAAAGATGGACACCTGCATGGGCCGAACTGCACAACTCACGGCAGGCACGACTCATTTCCTATGCTGGTACTGGTACTATTTTGCTCCAGTCCTTATGCCCGTGATCTTTGCCACATCCTTTGGTCTCCTTATCCTCCTCATCTCTTCCTACCTCGTTCGTCCTTCAATTATGCCCACTGCTCTACCCGTTCGGCCGAATGCCTCGACCGACCCACTCCCCTCCACTATCCAGGTTGAAATGGGTAGACCAAATCTCAAGATGATTCTTGGAGGGATCCTGGCTGCTGAACCTGCGGGTACGGTTGCGTTTATGGCTTCTGGGCCTGAGAGGATGGTGTTGGATGTTCAGGAGATGGCGGTATCAGGGATGACGAAAAAGGCGCATTTCTTTAGGGAGTCGTTCAAAGTGTGATTATATGAAATTGTGACTCCAAGTTCTTTTCATTTGAATACTCTCTGTTGATATCTATGAATGCACGAGTGAAATAAAAGACGATTATTTACTCATAGTGAGCGTCATTTCGTGATCCTCTTTCCCATTGAAAATTTCAGGAATTAAAATATTTACAATCTACATACCCAACATCCGATCGCTGCATGCCGACGGCCTTTTGAGGCATTCGACATGATCTTTCATCTGGTGGTAAGCCCTTTTTTTCATTGCCCTATCTTTACTCACTGCCTTGCTAGAGTTACCTTATGATTGCAGGCTCAAAACAGTGGATACCCTTGTCGATGCCTCTTCGCCTCTGCCGTAGGAGAACACTGGAGATGCTTACCTCACGCTTCGGCAAAGTCCCACCAAGAAATCCTAGACGGTTCCGTTAAAGGACAGACACAGACACTCTTTTCGTCCAGAAAAGGTCGCGGGTAACTCCTTGATGCCCGAGCAGTTCACTACCGTTCTGCAGGTGAGTGTCAAATTCGAGTTGCCGTTGGCTGGGATGTGATGTCCTTCCTTTTCAGTCGCTATAATGATTGCTTGGTACTCGTTTATCCCATATCCCGTAAGATTTTCCCCTTCTTCCTCTTCCATACGCTCCACCACATTAAGTTTGTCATCATCTATTTTCAACCAATCATTTCTCGCAATTTATTGATTCCTATTGGACGTTTTAATTACCGTATCAAAATTAACTTTTTAACAGCCCGGCTAGCTCAATGGTAGAGCGTCAGACTCTTAATCTGAAGGTTGTGGGTTCGACCCCCACGTTGGGCGTTTTGCAAAGCTTCTGTGGCGCAACTGGTTAGCGCGTGACGCTGTTAACGTCAAGGTTCGTGGTTCGAGTCCACGCAGGAGCGTTTCATCTTCCCAGTTAGTATAGTGGCTAGTATCCGACCCTGTCAATTCAAAACAGCACGGTTGAGACCCGGGTTCAATTCCCGGACTGGGAGCTTCAGGGTTTCTACCCTCCTTAGCTGGTCGCGTGGTGTAGTCGGTTATCACATCTGTCTAACACACAGAAGGTCTCCAGTTCGATCCTGGACGCAACCATTTCAATATCATTTTCTGCTCCGCTAGCTCAGTTGGTTAGAGCGTGGTGCTAATAACGCCAAGGTCACAGGTTCGATCCCTGTGCGGAGCATTCCCTCTTTCGTTTGCCCGGCTAGCTCAATCGGTAGAGCGTCAGACTCTTAATCTGAAGGTTGTGGGTTCGACCCCCACGTTGGGCGTTTTCATTTGGGCCTGTGGCAAAATGGTTACCGCGCTTGACTACGAATCAAGAGATTCCAGGTTCGACCCCTGGCAGGCTCGTTTCTTTCCTTTTACCAGACAACGTGGCCGAGCGGTTAAGGCGTTTGACTAGAAATCAAATTCCTTCGGGAGCGCAGGTTCAAGTCCTGCCGTTGTCGCTTTTTTAGAGCTATTATATAATTCATTAATTTTAGCGGATTATGTTCCCTTTATATTTTTCATCTTGCCCTTTAATCAAGTTGAGAGAGCCGTATAGTCTTATCTGAACAAATTTCATACTTTTTTTCTTCTCTTGCTTAATATTCTTTGACGAGGAAACCGACAAATTGTTAAAACAAATCAACAACAGTCTCATTCCGTCTTCGTTAACACAATTCTCACGAGCGCAGGGCAAAACAAGAATAGATTATAAGTACCTCACGCAGAAGTAATTGATCCCCAAGCCACAGAAGTTTGTAAGCCCTGCATAACGAAAACAACGACCAACTCACCAGCAGCTTCTTCATCTCACGCGTAAAAATTAATAAGAATAAATTGAGATCAATAAGACCAAAGCAAAGTGCACTTTCCTTCAGGAAATACGCGCTTTCATAATCTCATTCTACGGTGGGTGGGTTCATCATTCAGGTCCGAGATGAACGATACGTCGCAGTAGCCTTCAACGGTAAGTTCTGGTGTTGTTGGAACTAAATGCTTGAAATGAAGTCCCATATCTCGCTTGTGCCAGACATACCGCAGCACGCCAGTGGGTATTAGATGCATCGCTCATGTAACGGGCGACCACTACAACCGCGTAGGTATCACCTTCGCTCATCTGTTCGCTTGTTTTCATGCCCTATAGCCTTGTCCCCTGTCATTGTCATTTCGACGTTTTTCCGCACTTATCAATAATTCTATAATAAAGTTTCATTAGTATTGATATTATTGTTATTTATATTTATAATAAGGTTTCAATGAAAGTGAAAAGAGGAAAGGGTAGGAATCAGAGAGCCTTCGAACCGTGCAAAAACCGAGTGCCAAGTGCAGTGCAGCGAAACCGTTGTGTGCATTGGAAATAAAACTGTTTGGCGTTCGTTATCATGCATTAAATGAATTAATTGCTGGCAAACAAGAAAGAAAGGATGTCAACAAAAGCAACAAGAATTCGCCTCCGCAGGGGCTCGAACCCTGGACCTTAAGCTTACACAAGTCAATTACTCATATAAAAGGCTCACGCTCTACCAACTGAGCTACGGAGGCACTGAATTTCCCTTCAACCAGGATCGAACTGGTGACCTCCTGATGATTGTTAGGTAGATACCAAGTTACAGTCAGATGCTCTTCCAGCTGAGCTATAAAGGGAGGAAATGCTCTGTGTGAGACTCGAACTCACGGCCTTCGGATTATGAGACCGACGCTATACCAACTAAGCCAACAGAGCAGAAAGTAACTCCGATACGGGGAATCGAACCCCGGCCGCCGCCGTGAAAGGGCGGAATCCTAACCGCTAGACGATATCGGAAGAATAAAATGCCCACTACCAGAATTGAACTGGTGACCTTTCGCTTACGAGGCGGACGTTCTGCCACTGAACTAAGAGGGCGATTTCGATTGGATAAAAATTGCTGTTTTTCCACGTACTTATTTCTATCAGCCAGCAACGGTTTGGTTGTCTTTTGCGTGTGGTCGTTCTTCCTCACTCCATCTACGGTGCCATTTCTTTTTTAAGTTACTGCCCCTCTTGTAGATTTCTGACTTCATTTTTCTCAAGACTATCAAAATTAATCTACGGGTCGCTACCTTTCTTCATTTTGATGTCTTGCTCGAATCATTCCGGAAGGGCACACCGTGGTACTTCTTGAGAGTAACCAGCTAATTGTTATAGCTAAATTGCTGCTTGCCTGACCGCGAGCACTTGCTCGCCGTTTATTATTTCTTTAATTGTTTATTTTTCTTGTACTTTCACATAAATTGACACAACTGAGTCATTGTAGAGTATGTAATATATATTTAGATTATAACAAAACAGTTTTTGAGCAACCGAGAAAAGTCTATTGTGAATACGGCAAAAGTGTTGTGATGAAATTTTACTCGACGAGAGTCATGCGTCTGATCTAACAAGGTATTCGTTCTTTAGTGTTATGGAGAGACGCTGTGGTTGAATGAGGCGTGATAGCGTGATCAACGGCGGAAAAATGAGGAAGGAGCGACCGTAGTTGAAGGTGACGCCACATCAGTTGAAGTCAAAGATGAGGCAGCAAGCACACGAGGCACATTGAGAATATCGCCGGTCACGATCCCTTCACATGGCTTCACCTGGAAATCAGAGTAACCGCCAGCCTTAGCGCGGACTTGGATAGCGTCGAAGCTTCGGTTAAGGCTGATGAAGAGGTTGGGCTTTGCAACGGATTGAATGGAGTGAACGCCTTCGCTTTTGAATGCAGGTGTAGACAGCTTGAAGAGCTGGGTAGAGTCGTTTTGGATGCAAGGTGTAACGGTAAGTCTATCCGCTGCAACGGTCAGACATTGCCCATTGTGTGTGATAAGAGGTGTGTATGGGGTGACTTTATCGAGGTAGATGAGGCCGGATGCGACGGTGTGGGAATGGTTGGAGTAGCTTGCGGTTGTGTCTTCAGTGATGGAAGTACGGGAGGGGAGGATTGAGGTTGAGGTGTAGTCAATGTAGACATGGTTGTGGGTGTAGGGAGCACTGGCGCCGTTGACGATGGTGGATATGGTATTAATGAGGATGTAGCAGGATTCGGACGCAGAGACGGTGGAGGATGCAAGGGCGAGGATGGCGACAGTTGATATGAAGGAAGGCATCGTTGGTTGTAATAGATTGCAAATTAAAAGACTAGATGACTGCGAATGATGTTTTGGTGTCAGTGGAGTAGGGCCTGCATGCTTCCTTTTATATCGAAAGAAGCGCCATTTTACCTGGGCTATAGCTGGATGAGGCCCTGGGTTAATCTGGACTGTTATGGTGAGGTTTGAGGTCGGTCATGGTGGTAAAATGGTTGTGGCGGACTATCAAAGGCTGTCAAGTTTGTCAACCAAAAGAAAAGGGAAAGAAATTCAAAGAATCTTGCCCAGTGAACATGTCAGGGTTCAACGACCTTAGATGGACTTTACTCAATTTGGGACAAAGGGGGTTAACGCCCATGTGGATGCCTCTGTATACGGTATACGGTATCACTACCTGATTATCTGCTGATAAAAACACTTTTAAAGCCATTTTTATTGTTATAAAAGTTGCAAAGTAATAAATTATAATGTGAGGAACTCGGCGATTTGCCTCAACACAAAATAAAGTTGAAATGGAGGCAATTAATTATATAATACGTACATTCGTCTTTGAAGTTTGTCGAGAAATACTCGAACGTAGGTATTAGTTAAATCCGGAAAACAACGCAAACAAAATGATCCCAATTATACAAAGCTGGACCTTTGTCACATCCAGCTGACACAAATCAGACTATCAGACCGAATTCCAAGCTCACGTTGTGACGTTCAACCATGTCAAGGCTTAAGAGGTCGATACGATCGTTGTCGGAATTGTCGCTGTTTTTCCGTCAAGATCTAATAACAGAGGTGCTGAGCGAAAGAACCCACCCCGGACCCGTTGTCTTTCCGAAGGTCACGGCTCAAGGGTTAATGTATTAGATGGGAACGGTAGGATCATTGGAGCGTTTGTTGGTGTGGATTGAGGCCAAGAAGGAAAAGTCAAACTCTTAAATAAACAGCCCATAGAATGAGAGAGTTTATTTTAATATCCGATGTAAATATTATCTGGATGGTTTCCAATTCAACCAAAAGATACGGTACATATCTGTTAACATCAATGACTAATAAAAGTATCTTCTGTTATTTTTTTGTCATCATCGAAAAACCAACCTGTTGGGTTTTAGGTTCACAAATGTAACAATAGTAGTCATTTATCCACCACATTTGCATGCGCCGATGGAAGACTTGGGTTTCAGGCCAATTTTATTCATAACACAGCCACCATAAATCACATTCACCACCATTCTTTATGGTTGCTGATATGGTTGCTGATGTAAGACGGCACAGTTCAGCCGATACCGCTTATGAGAAACTGACGAGGGATTAATTGTACTTGCCTGGGCGTCATGGAGCCAACAGAGAAAGATGACAACGTGATGGATCGTTGGACGCCGGTTGCGCTCGATGTAGTAGTTTTATACTTGTATCTACTTTGCAGGAAAGTAGGACCCACCTTCGTATTAATGGAGGGTATCCACAGCAAGTGGATCCACCTCTTATTAGGTACTAGGGGTTGTTCGTTGGAACTTGGGGCTGAAAATAAAAATGATCATCGTGATGCCTAAGGATGATGACGATGATAATGGAAGCCTGTTCCGAATCCCGATTACAAATCCGCTTATTTCGTGGTCTAAAATCATCACTTTTCCCTAATAATTAATTAATTAATAAGAGTCGATCTCCAATGTGACTGACTTCAGAGCACAAAATGACCAGGAAGGCCCTCTTTCACTCCTTCTGTCGACTTGTGTCCGATTTCTGATATTAAAAGTCCGGCCGTCACGAGCAACGACGGAAAGAGAATTTGTCAACTGTCATACAAAGTTTAAGCTCCAGCCAATCGGATCTACTCGATCGCCGATCTAGTAGCCTTGCACGACAGTGGAGTTTGCCAAAAGGAGTAATTTGTCTTTGTTTTGACATTTGGATGCTTTGTTTGGTAAGCAACTTTGTTGCTGACGGAAGAATTGCGCAATTTACATAGTAATGGCGCAGAAGAGGTGGCAAAAGAGGGTTTTGTGATGCGGATAAAACAAAGGTGTGCAAGGAGGCGATGGAACCAAGGAGGAGAAAAGAGTATCAGATCGCGAATCGCTTGTTGCTTGCTAATGGTGACCGTTTGATTCATTATAGGGTTTTTCCGAGGATAGCCCCTTCGAAAGAATAACGCCTTACAAACAACACCATCCCCATCGGCTGGTATAAATACGTACCGGAATCCCCCATTTACTTTCCCTTCACACCTCTTCACTTACAAAGCAACTTCTTCACTCGACTTAACCCTCACACAACAATGTACAAAATGAAGTTCTTTTGCCGCCATTGCTACATCGCCCTTGCTGCACCGCATCGGCCCAGATCTCCTCGAGGTTCTCAGCGACCCCGACTTCAGCTCGCTCGTCGGCGCTGCCACCTCTGCCGGCTTGTCGACACCCCTTACGGCCTTAAGGGCCCCTTCACCATCTTCGCCCCCAACAACGCTGCCGTGAGTACTCTGCTTCAATCAACACGTTTCTCTGTCCATTCAAATCATCTCTGTAAACAGTATCTAACCTATGCAATTTCAATAGCTTCGCTGCCCTGAAGGCTGACACCAGCGACAAGGCCCTCCTCACCGCCGTCCTTTCCTACCACGTCGTTGCTGGTGTGACCTACGCCCCCAAGGAGGCTGGCAAGACCATCCTCGACACCTTCTACACCCCTGAGGGTCTCTCTGCCCAGAAGGTCGTTGCCAACACTGACCTCACCAAGACCACCATCTCCTACCGTCTGTCCACCGCAAACGTTCTCAAGTCCGTCCCCTCCTTGACAACACCGCCATTGGTCCACGTCATCGACAACCGTCCTCCTCCCCCCCCAGGACATTGCCACCGTCGCGGGTGAGGCTGGCCTCAAATCCCTTGTGGACACCATTGTCTCTGTCGACCTCCTCAAGACCGTTCAGGGTCTTAAGGATGTGACCATCTTCGCTCCCAACGACAAGGCCTTCGCCGCCATCGAGTCCGTCACCAAGACTCTCAGCAAGGAGGCCATCACCTCTGTTCTCCTCCTCCACGTTGTCCCCGCCGTCGTCTTCTCCCCACCATCATCGCCGCCAAGACCATCCCTGATGTCAAGACTTCGCTTGAGGGCCAGACTCTCTCCGCCGCTTTCACTGGATCCGCTGTCACCGTCGCTGGCAAGGGTAACACCACCCCCGCCAACGTCGTCACTGCCGATGTTGTCTTCAACGCCGGTGTCGTCCACGTCATTGACACTGTTCTCCTTCCCGGTGCTGCCTCCACTACTGCCCCCACTACCCCCACGACCACTGCTGCTCCCAAGGGTACCAACATTGCCATCAGCGGTGCCACCTCTGTCGCCCCTGCTGGTGTCGCCGCGGCCGCCGTTGCCGTTGCTGCCATGTTCCTTTAAATCAATATTCCCTCATCTCTCCCATCAATGATTCGCATTCCATTCTTTTGTTTCTAATG